GGTGTGTCGTGGCCGCAGGTACCTGCCCCGGGGACGGCTCCTGGGGTGGCACCCGGGGCTGGCTCTGCCGAAAGCCCTGTGGGGTGGGGATGGAGCGGGCACAGAGGAGAGGCAGCTGAGCTCGTAGCAAAGCCCCCTCTGTCCAGCTCTGTCCCCTTATGTGTCCTGGACCTCCCGCACCCCAGGAGTGGGGAGCGGAGCTGGCACAGGGGCCACTATGAGTTCCACAGGCAGGGACTGATCCCCTGGCCTTTGGGAGGTGTGGGGTCCCTGTCACCCCAGGGCCCCGGGGAGGGGGCTGCTGTCCCACCTCTGCTCTGCCTCCAGCTGTTCCTCTTCCGCACCGTCACCTTCCACCCCCCGCACAACTTCACCCAGTGCACGACGCGGGGCAGCTTCCCCCAGCCCTGGCACGAGACCCTCTACAACATGCTGGGCTTTGCCTGCCTCTTCCTGCTGCCGCTGCTCATCATGGTCTGCTGCTACGCTCGCATCCTCCTGGAGATCTCCCGGCGCATGGGCTCCAGCCTCTGTGAGTGCCAGGTCCCCAGGGGTGCTCAGCAGGGACCCTGGGATGGGGGAACAAGGGGGGCCCCTGGATGCGGTTGTGTGGGACCCTCCAGCCCTCCCTGAGGGCATGGGGTCCTTGTCCCCAGCTAAGTGTCCTCCCAACTCCCAGTCTCCTCCCGGGATGTGTCACTGCGGCGCTCCCAGAACAACATCCCGCGGGCACGGCTGCGCACGCTGAAGATGAGCCTGGTCATTGTGTCCTCCTTCATCCTCTGCTGGACCCCCTACTACCTGCTGGGACTGTGGTACTGGTTCTGCCCACGGGCCATGGAGAAGAGGGTCTCGCCAGCCCTCACCCACATCCTCTTCATCTTTGGCCTCTTCAACGCCTGCCTGGACCCCATCACCTACGGGCTCTTCACCATCCCCCTCCCCAGGGGCTGGGGCTGCCCCTGTGGTCCCCCCCCTGAGCCCCAGCCGCCCTCCCCGGCCACCGGCTCCTTCCACTGCTCCGCCTCCTCCTCCTCCCTGCCGCCCAAGCGGGGGGTCCCAGGGGCACGGGGGCAGTGGGAGCCCACCAGGACAGGGCTGCCTACAGGCACCAGCTCCTGCCAGAGCAGCTCCCTGTGAGCCAGGCGTGGCCTCCTGGCCATGGGGACACCCTGGGGGGCTCAGCAGGCACCAGGACTGTGGGCAGGAAGGGACCAGCACTAGGACAGTGAGGGCAGGAGGGGTCTGATGGGGACAGGGTCACTCCTGGGGGGGGACAGGGTCCTGCTGATCTTTTTATAAAGTCATAGAATTGTTATGGTTGGAAAAGACCTTTAAGATCATCAAGCCCAACTGTTACCCCAGCGCTGCCAAGGCCACCACTGACCCACATCCCTCAGCGCCACATCTACATGGCTTTGAAATCCCTCCAGGGATGGGGACTCCCCCCCTGCCCTGGGCAGCCTGGGCCAGGGCCTGACAGCCCTTTTGGGAAAAAAAAACTTCTAGTATCTCTATTTTCCTATGCCCCAATGTGTCTCTGTGGGTGGTGGAGCTGGTGTGGGTGTCCTAGGTCCCCTCCCTACACCTGCCAAGCCCAGCACAGCAATGAAGTGTCTCCCAGCTGCCTCCTGCAATGCCTATGTCCCCGGCCATGGGGCTGGGGTCCCCAAAGCCAGTGCTGCTGTGGATGGGCTGGGTGGGAGCCCCTCCCTGCCATTCCTGGGGTCTGGAGGTGGTCCCAGAGACCCTGCAGGGTGGCTCGGGCTGGGTGCTGCCCTCTCTGCGGTAGCTGCTGGGGCTGTTTGTCCTCATGGGACTCAGGGCTGGTCCCTGCTGGTGTCACGGAGCCTGCAGCAGCCTTGCACCCGCTGGCTCTGCTCCAAACGGGAGCTGTTGGCTCCTGCCGAAGGTCGTGGCGAGGCGGAGGGGCCGGCTGCTCCCGGCTGCTCAGCAACTGCCCCAAGGCCAGC